TCATCAGCAAATTTATAGAAAGAGTTAGAGCTGAATTTGGCCACACAGTTGTGAGTGTATAAGGAGTATGGTAAGGGGCTGAGTACAGAGCCTTGCCGGGCACTGTTTTTGAGGATTATTGTGGAGGAGGTGTTGCCAGTCATTACTGATTGCGGTCAGGAAGTTGAGGATCCAATTGCAGAGAGGGAGCAGAGTCCTACGTCTTGGAGTTTGGAGATGAGTTTGATTGGAATTATGGGGTTGAAGGCAGAGCTAAAGTCAATAAATAGGAGTCTGATGTGAATGTCCTTGTTATACAGATGTTCCACGGTTGAATGTAGGGCCAGGAAGATGGTGTCTATTGTGGACCTTTTTAAACCTTTTAAATTTCTCAATGTGGGTGCATTGCACATAATTTCTCTTCAAAGGACAACTTTTTCATTTCAGGAACAAATCTAATGAACATTCATTGCATTCCTTCTGAGGCAAATACATCTTTTTTTCAAACACTTAAATTGTGCATAGTACTCCAGATGTATTCTCAGCAAAGTGCCACAAAACTGCAGCAAAAAGTCCTTACCATTATGCTGCAAATGTTTTGTAATAACTTGTAGAATGCTGCTTGGCTTTGCAGACACTGAGATTTCACTGATGGAGGCTGGAATGTGAGGGCACAGTCTCAGGATAACGACTGAGATGAGAATGTCTTCACTTTCAGGATTGTGAATGTTTGGAATTCTTTACCCTAAATAGTTGTCTTTGCATCATCACTGACAATATATAGGGCTGCGGTACACAGAGATTTGGACATGAGGTGGGAAAGTGAAGTTGAAGCCCAAGATTAGTTGTCATCAGAAACAAAAACAGCATTACTGGAAAAGCTCAGCAGAACTGGCAGTGTCCATGGAGAGTAATCCGAGCTAACATTTCAGTTTGGTGACCTATTCTCAGGGCTCCAGTATCAAGCAGCACCTGCTCAGCAATCACCTTTTCAGTGATGCACAGTAAAGGCTCCACCAGGGCCAATCAGCTTCTGACTTCATTATAGCCTTGGTTCAAACATGGGTGAAAGTGCTGAATTCCAGAGGCGAGGTGAGAGTGATAGCCTCAACATCAAGGCCAAATTCTACTGAGGGTGGCATCAAGGAATCCTAGCAAAACTGGAATCAGTGCATATCAGGGGTCAAACTCTCTGCTGGTTGGAGTCATACCTGGCAAGTAGGAAAATGGTTGAGTGTTGGAGGTCAGTCAGTCATCTCAGCTCCAGGACATCTCTGCAGGAGTTCCTGAGGGGAGTGTCCTAGGCCCAATCATTTTCAGCCATTTCATCAATGAACTTATCAAATAGACGTAACAATAAATAAATAAATCTGGACAATACTTAGGCTTCGGCTGACAAGTGGCATCTAACATTTGTGCTCCACAAATGCCAGGCAATGACCATCTCCAATAAGAGACAATCTAACCACTGCCCCTTGACATTCAATGGTGTGACCCTCACTGTCAACGTCTTGGGGATTACTATGACCAGAAGCTCAACTGGACTCGCCATATAAACACAGTGGCTACAACAGCAGGTCAGAAAACGACTCCCCTCCTGATTCCCCAGAGCCCGTCCACCATCTAGACGTAACTCGGGAGTGTGATAGAATGTTGCCTGGTTGGGTGCAGCTCCAACAACATTCAAGAAAGTTGACACCATTTAAGACAAAGCAGCCCTCTTAATTGGCACCACATCCACAACCCCCTCTACCACTGATGGTCAGTATCAGCAGTGTGTACTATCTGCAAGATGCACTGCAGAAATTCACCAAAGATCCTTAGACAGCCCCTTCCAAACCCATGACCACTTCTAACAAGAAGGACAAGGGTAGCAGATAGTCATAGAATTACACAGCATGGAAGCAGACCCTTCGGTCCAACTTCTCTGTGCTGACCAGATATCCTAAACTGACCCATTTGCCAGTATTTGGCCCATATCCCTCTTAACCCTTCCAATTTATATACCCAACCAGATTCTTCTTAAATGTTGTAATTGTACCAGTCTCCACCACTTCCTCTGGCAGCTTGTTCCATACACACACCACGCTCTGTGTGAAAATGTTACCCCTCCAGTCCCTTTTAAATATTTCCATTCTCACCTTAAACCTATGACCTCTAGTTTTGGACTCCCCTACCACAGGAAAAACACCTTGGCTATTTACCCTATTTATGCCCCTTGTTATTTGATAAATCTGTATCAGGTCACCCCACAGTCTCCAGGGAAAAATGCTCCAGCCTATTCAGCTGTTCCCTATGGCTCAAACCCTCCAATCCGGGCAACATCCATGTAAATCTTTTCTGAGTCCTTTCAAGTTTAACAACGTCTTTACTGTAGCAGGGAGACCAGAACTGAATGCAGTATTTCAAAAATGGCCTAATCAATGTCCTGTAGAGCTGCAACTTGACACCTTAACTCCTATACTCAATGACCAATAAAGACAAGTGTGCCAAACGCTTTCTTCACCACCCTGTCTACCCGCAGCTCTACTTTCAAGGAACCATGTACCTGTACCCCTAGGTCTCTTTGTTTGACAATACTCCCCAGGATCTTACCCTCGATTTACCTTACCAAAATGCATTAACTCCCATTTATCTAAATTAAACTCCATCTGCTACTCCTTGACCTACATGGGAGCACCACCACCTGCAAGTTCCTCTCCAAGCCATTCACCATCCTGACTTGGAAATATACTGCCATTCCTGCATTGCTACTGTATCAAAATCCTGGAATTCCCTTCCTAATGGAACTGTGGCGAACACTACGAACAGCATATGGACTGCAGACAAGCATAGAGCTCACTGCCATATTCTCAATTGCAACAAGGGACAGGCAATAAGTGCTGGCTAGCCAGCAATGTCCACATCCCATAAGTGAATAAAAACTAAAGCCAATCAAACTTATTTGTCACTTTGAAAATCACAACATTTAGTTTATGTTAGTTATCCTCCTCCTGTACTGCTTCACCCATTATTACATTCATCAGTCATGTCCTTGACCATTCAGTAGTCTATGTGCTCCTGAAATTTGTATTATGGTCCTTTTATGTTCACTGCATTTCTGAATTTTGTATCTACTGCAAGCTTTGAAATTCTCACCTGTATACTCAAGTTCATGTTATCAATATATGTTGAAAGGAGCAATAAGTCCCCTGAGGAGCTCTGCTGTACACTTTCATATAGTCTGCAAAAATAAAACTATCTGCTTTCTGTCCTTTACCCAATTTTCTCCAGTTAACCTCATGGGCTTTAATTTTGTTTAAAAGTCTATTATGTGGCTTGTTGTCTAGTGTCTCTTTGAAAGTCCATCAATTGCATTGCATTCATTAATCATCTCCATAACTGCATCAAAAACTCACTCAATGTTTTTCAATTATGATATACATCTCATTATTTTTTTCTATGACACTGGTATGTAATATATGCTGTGTTGCAATTTGATGTTTATTTGGGAAATTAGAAGGACTCCAGAGCAGCATCTTTGCCAGTACCAGGTGAAATTGAGAATGACCGTTCCCACTTTGGGAAGCACTGAAAGCATTTAAAGCAAGTTATTTCCTTAGAACATAGAACAGTACAGCACAGTACAGGCCCTTCGGCCCACGATGTTGTGCCCAACTTTTACCCTAATCCTAAGGTCTATCTAACCTCCACCCCTAAATTATACTATCATCCATATGCCAAGCTAATAGCCACTTAAATGCCCGAAATGTGGCCGACTCCACTACCCTCTCTGGCAATGCATTCCATGTCCGGAACACTGAGTAAAGAACCTCCCTCTGACTCTCCCCTATATCTACCTCCACTCACTTTAAAACTATGCCCCCTCGTAATAGCTACCTCCACCCTAGGAAAAAGTCTCTGGCTGTCTACTCTATCTATATCTCCGATCATTTTGTACACCTCTATCAAGTCACCTCTCATCCTTCGTTCTATAGAGAAAAGCCCTAGTGCTCTCAACCTTTCCTCGTAAGATCTTCCCTCCATTCTAGGCAACATCTTGGTAAATCTTTTCTGCACCTTTTCCAGTGCTTCCACATCTTTCCTGTAATGAGGCGACCAGAACTGGACACAATACTCCAGATGTGGCCGAACCAGGCTTTTGTATAGCTGAAGCATAACTTCTCGGCTCTTGAACTCAATTTCTCTATTAATGAAAGCTAACGCACCATACGCCTTCTTAACAACTCTATCCACCTGGATGGCGGCTTTCAGGGAACTGTGGACATGAACCCCAAGATCCCTCTGCTCCTCCACACTGCCAAGAATCTTTCCGTTAACCCTGTATTCTGCTTTCAAGTTTTTCCTTCCAAAATGAATCACCTCACATTTTTCAGGGTTAAACTCCATCTGCCATTTCTGAGCCCAGCTCTGCATCCTATCAATGTCCCTTTGTAACCTAGAACAGCCCTCCGCACTGTCCACAACTCGACCCACCTTCGTATCGTCCGGGAACTTACTAAGCGACCCTTCCACTCCTTCATCCAAATCATTTACAAAAATCACAAATAGAAGAGGACCCAGAACAGATCCTTGTGGTACACCACTCGTAACTGAGCACGATGTTGAATATTTTCCGTCCACTACCACCCTTTGTCTTCTGAGGGTCAGCCAATTCTGAATCCAATCTGCCACATTTCCCCCTATCCCATGCCTTCTTACCATCTGCATGAGCCTACCATGGGGAACCTTATCAAACGCCTTACTTAAATCCATGTATACAACATCCACTGCTCTACTTTCATCCACCTCTTCAAAGAATTCAATAAGGTTTGTGAGGCATGATCTACCCCTCACAAATCCATGCTGACTATCTTTCTCATACTTGTGACTACCCTTCTTTCTCATACTTCTGGATAATGAATTTGCATAGATCCTTTCATGAGGATTATTGATGAATGGGTTGGTCACTTCTGAAAGAGTAAATAAAGCAAATGAAAAGATAAAACTTTTCTTCTCATGGTATTTCTCAATTCCTTCAGGATTTTATGAAGCAGAATAATACACGTCAGAATGAGCACAGCCTCAAGAACTTTGACCTCGCAGAGTATCGTCAGCTTCTAAGTGATCTCTCTATTCAGATCTATCAACAACTGATTAAGATTGCAGAAAGTCTTCTTCAAACCATGATAGGTAAGGCCTTGTGTATATACACACACCTTTCTTTCAAAATGAGTCATTATTTTAAAGTATACTTTCACAAGCATTACACTTCTGGTACCCAAACAGTGTTGACAGGTTATTTGGAGTGTTGAACATTGAACAGTGTTAAAGTTGAGCTTGCCTATTAGCCAGACATACCACCAGGGATTTTTGAATTTAATCAAGTATGCTGTCATTGATTTCCTTAGCCCTCCACCCACCCTAGTTCTTAGTTAGGCATATAACTGCTGAAGCTATTCCCAACATCTGAACTGACAACCCGTATGAGATCAGCTAACTCCAAATGAACTTGGTCTGGATTTTAGTCAGGATCAGGAAGTATGAGACAAATATGTTTCTGGTTCCTGAAACTTCCCCTACGGGGATAATGTTACTCATTGAGATTCTACTGATCGCATCCACTTAATTGGTACGGATACAGATTCTCTGTCCAATTAAAGACGTTGGGCAAGCATTGAAAGCTGGAGGGAAAATCAGGGACCTTTCAGCTTGACAGGTTCAGCAGCTTGCAATGGATGGTTTATAATACAACGGGCTTACACTATGATGGATAAAGTCAACCATGACACGGTAACCTTTGAGATCCACAATGGGGTCAAACAGGGTTGTGTTCTGGCATCTCTTTATGCTGTCGTATGCCTTCAGGTCAACTACAGTGTTTCTATTTACATACCAGAACTGATGGAAAGCTATTTAATTTTGTTTGCCTGAGACCAAGACAGGTACAAAAAATTTGAGTTGCTTATTACAAGTAATCCTAACAAGGAACACTTTGGTAGCAGATGGACAAACTCTTTCATGCCTGTAAAGAAATAAGTTTGATAATCACATCAGGAAAATAAGTGCCATAGTTGCCACAACAATCTATCAGCATTTATGACACTGGAGTCTGTTGATAGATTCAAAATAATTAGTCTCCGTAATCGGCAACAATCTCACTTCTTGCTGAAATGAACTCCTGCATTGCAAGAGCTACAGCTATTATGTTCAAACTATGGAATGATAAAAATCTAAGAATATCAAACTGCAAGTCTCCTAAGCCTGTGATCTCAGTACACTGCCGTATCGCTAGCGACCTGGACAATATATGCTCGACTCTCTAATCCCACCAGCGTATAGTCTTTGCCAAGTCAACAATATCCTTCTGTACAGGGAAACAACCACTCAGTTACACCTCCTTGTCATCTATACCTTGCTTGTAACTGACCCTGCAATAAAGATGTGAAGACGGTAAGCATTAGTATTGACTTGGAGATGGTTACTGATGCCCATGACGTCTGGAAGCTGACTGTTTGGAAAGGCACTGGAAGAAGCAAAAATCTTAGCTGGCTGAGAAGTAGATCCAGAGAATCAAGCACCCTTTCAACCCACTGTCTCCCTCTGCAGCAAGTACGGTAGAGCTACCATGCTAGATTGGGCCTCCTAGGCAATGATAGGTAATAGATACTTAACACCCCCAGAGTTGACCACCATGTCATAAACCATCATCGTATGAGATGGAAGGCACCATTTGGGAACTGAAAAGGTACCTCAATATGGAAGTGCTTGCTCACCAATCCTTCTAAAGTTTAAATAAAACCAGGTATGGCAGCCAGGCCACTACTGTATGGGGAGAATCCCTCCACCTACAGCAGCATCAAAATAGGCATGAAAGGTCTCTAGGAAACATTCCAGTTGGAATCCTTTTAGGTGGGCTTAACAAGGCACCTAATAAACCTAATTATTTAAATGCTTCCTGGGCTTGGTGTATCTCCTGGATATGGAAGGGAATGGATTTGAGAAACTGACGTGCCATTAATTACAGAATCCATCTGCCTTCAAACCCACCCTTAGTGAAGCTTGTGTCACACAGGAACACAGTGAGGTACGTACCCTCAGAACCATGAAATGAGCTGCATGTATACTTTCTTGGAGCAAAGGCATTTTTATATTCTGATGTTCTTTAGTGAATAATGTAGCTTAAAAAATTCAGACTATTAGAATGATTTATGATTTAATAATCAATTACTGTTTTTCTAGCTTTGATTTTTATTGGCATAAATGATGAGCAAGCACAAATGTTACCCTTGGGAAAATTTTCTTCAATATATTGCTAAAGGGAAAGGGAACTGAATTTTTTTCCTGTAAATCTTTGAGAATTGTGGAATAATGATTCTCTTTCATGCTTTTCAATCCCTTTGAACTGTTGACTTCAGTTTTTCTCTTAAAGCTTCCTGAACTTCTAATAGATGGGAGTCAGGTTCTATAGTTGACTTGCATTTTGTTCTTTTCTTACTGGTGTTTTGATGTGAATGAAGTTCAAAAGTAGATGAAAGGGAGGGTCTTGGCTAGACAAAATGATCCAGGAGCAGTTTCACTCTGCTCCTAACAAGTGCAGGTTCACAACACACAACTCCTCCAATTGTGCAAAAATGCACAAAGATTGACAATTCCACTGATGCTTATTTTATACATTCATTGCTGCACCGGACCCTATCCCTGGTAAACATGGATAGATCGCAAGTCACAGCAGGCCAGGCAGCATCAGAGGAGCAGGAAAGTTGACATTTCAGGTCAGGACCCTTCTTCAGAAATGGGGAGGGGGAAGGGAGCTGGGAGCTGGGAAATAGAGAGAGGAGGGTTGGGGGTGGGGCTGGGGAAGGCAGGTGTGATGGTGATAGATGAGTGCAGGTAGTGACTCCAGCATCTGCAGTTCTTGCTATCTCTAGATTGAGAGTCAGTTAGCTGCACTAAGCTAATGCTAGTTTATTCTTAACTGTGGGACCCAGCGAATGGAGATTTTGTGGTGGAATTATTTCAATATTTCTGTACAATATTGATTTTATTCTGCTTATAGTCAAGTATAAAAAGCACTGACAGATTCAACAAAGCGGCCCTCTGAATGTGCAGGTCATGTGACACTGACCATAATTTGTGCAAGTTGTTCTGTTCCTCTTAGAGTAATCACTGCTGCTACACAATAGAAATGAAACAGAAAAATGTTTCATTGCTCATTCTAATGACACCTTTCACCTAAATACACAAGACTTCATTCTGAAAAAATCCCCAAAAGTGGTGAAGTTCAAGCAGACTTTTGACTAAAGCTACTGCAATTTGTTTTTATTTGTTCTTTGAATGTAGTGAAGTTGTATTTATTGCCATTTCCACCCTTCACTGAGAAAGTTATGGTGTACCCATTGTTGAACATTGAGAAAAATACATTTGAGAATTTTTATAAATTATTTATTTGCTATGATTATCTGTTTATTATGTAAAGTCCGTAAGTGTAACAGTCATTTAAATTTACGTACAAAGTGAGTCATTTCTATTTGCTTGCGAATTTGCTTTGGGCATTTTATCTGGCAAGTTTTGTATTCTTTATGATACATGTCAGAGGTTGACTGTTTTGTGTTGTATTAATGCTGTTTTCTTTTTAAAAAAGTATCTGCAATGTTGGAAAATGAGAGCATTCAGGGTCTGTCCAGTGTGAAACCCATGGGCTACCGGAAACGTTCTTCCAGCCGGGTGGATGGAGACAGCAGCTATACTCTAGAGGCCATGGTACGCCAGCTTAACCTGTTGAACAACACCATGTGTGAGCATGGACTAGATCCTGAGATTATCCAGCAGGTCTTTCGGCAACTTTTCTACATTATCAATGCTGTTACACTTAACAATCTGCTCCTGAGGAAGGATGTGTGCTCGTGGAGTACTGGAATGCAGCTCAGGTATGAAATCTGGAGAATGATTGTCTCCTCCCCAAGAGGGTATTCTGTCTCAGAATTGACAAACCACATTGTAATGCCGAAATATCAAGACTTGTTGAGTGACAGTGAAAGACATGTTTTGTTCTTAGTTTCCAAAGATTTAGAACTTCTCTGATCAAAAGACAGGCAATATCCATCTTATCAAATATGATCTTTCCCAATCATAGAAGTCACGTGACACTAGGTTATAGTCCAACAGGTTTATTTGAAATCACAAGCTTTCAGAATGCAGCCCTTTTTTTTAAACCAAGGGGTTGTGCTCCGAAAGCTTGTGATTTCAAATAAACCTGTTGGACTATAAGCTGGTGTCATGTGACTTCTGACTTTGTCCACCCCATTCAACACCAACACCTCCACATCATGTTTCCTCTTCATAACAGAAGTATACAAATGACGCCACAAAAACAGATTTGATACTTGCGTCGATGACCAGGGATAGTGAGGGGACCTACAGTAGCCTTGATTTTGACGTTAGTTCAGAGGTCCATACATTCAGACTAAAAGAAAATACAACATGGCTTATGTTTGCATCCACATTCCAAAGGCACTTAAAATCATTGTTTTTATGGATTAAATGAACTCATATTACAGAGTTCTGTACAAGTTTCCCATTAGCAAGCAGAATGAAAGCTGAGTTGCCACCCTTGATAAGACTAGGAGGGGTATATTGCTAGGTCAAATAATCTGCTGCATAAAGGTTAAAGTGGCTCAGTAACCTCTACAAAAGAATCCGTTTGGACCTCTGTCCATTTGTGCCTTAAGATTTTGGATTGGATCCCCTGTCTTTACAATAATTCCTGCATTTGCTGCCAAGCAACCATCGTTCTGCTGAGCAGAAAATCATCGCCAAATATTCCAATGTATTTCTCTAGCCCACAAGTCCATTAATGTTTGTTTCCTTGGTGTTGCCTTTGATGTAAATGTTGTCTACTCTCTCTCTAATATCCTGCTTTGATGCTTGTGTAGGTACAACATCAGTCAGTTAGAAGAGTGGCTCCGAGGAAAAAATTTACATCAGAGTGGGACCATGAAGACGATGGAGCCTCTAATCCAGGCAGCTCAGCTGCTTCAAGTAAAAAAGAAAACAAGTGATGACGCTGCGGCCATCTGTTCAATGTGTACAGATCTTACCCCACAGCAGGTAAATGACTTTTGGCTGTTTTTGCAGTGGTGACAGAGAAGTTGACCTTTCAGCAAATTCTACTTGAGGTTTTTTCAGTAGTTAGTGATGTCTTAGAGCCATACCTTTATTCCAATTACGTAATGTTGCCGATATCTCCTAACAAGCAAGTCAAAGCATCAGTTGGAGTGAGATGTTAGTCAACAAGTGAGGCAGATTACAAACTGCTAAATACATGCAGATTAATTTTCAAAGTAAGTTCAATCAAAATTAAACTTGTGTCCAGATAACACATAACGCAAAAGCAAAATACTGCAGACGCTATAAATCTGAAATAAAAATGGAAAATGTTGGAAATACTCCGCAGGTCTGGAGCACTGGTGGAGAAACCAAGTTAAGCTTTTAAGTCTGTGATCTTTCAAAATAGCAAGATCACAACATTAACACTGTTTCTCTCTTAAGAGATATTGCCAAACCTGTTGAGAGATTCCAGCATTTTGTTTCAATATCCTCATGCCCCCAAGACAAATCAACCCGCTTGACACGTCCATAGATTCCTTCCATTTGTAACTATTAATTTTTTTTAGAAGAAAAAGTTACCTGAATGCATCACATTCAATTCAATACTTCGAAGTTTTAAAGCTCTAATTGTGATAAATTGTAATTTCTTCTGGCAATCTGCTTTAATTTGCATAATGCTACATGTTTAGACCAATCCGACAGACATGTCACACTGTCAGCCATGCACTTGCAGTTGTGCTAACTTTGGTATTTTTCTCATCAAACCATTTCCCTACTGGGATGTGGAAGGAACCTTGTACAGACAAGTTTATTATGCACAAAATTTTGCTGCTGAACAACATTTGCAATCATTCTCCCCTCTCCTGAGTTCTGCTAGACACTGGAATGCAGATACCCTCTGATATAAGCCTAAACACACAGTCTCAATATGCTATTCAACTATGTCTCATTCATATAAGTGTATTATCTAAAAGGAATGATTGTTTTGCAATGAGAATCAGGAACTCTGCCTGATGGTTTGTCTTGGCCCTTTCTTAAGCTCCAATTGTGGCATCTCTGACCATCGTTAGATAACATAGCAAATGTCCTGTTTCAACACTGAGACCTTTGTCAGGTTTTTCTAAATAATTGGATATTAAATTCTGCATCTATTCTATTTTTTCAACAATAGATTGTCAAGATTTTAAACCTTTACACACCAGTGAATGAATTTGAAGAACGTGTGACAGTAGCCTTCATTAGAAATATTCAGGTAAGTTCCTCATAGCCAATAAAAATGAGTGCTGCTTTGTTTATATGAAGCCAGTCACTTTTATGCCCATTTTGTCCAATGATTCCTAATTTCACATGTTCATTCTCCACATTCTATTACTAAGAAATCTGCAATTTTTTTTACTTATATGCCTATTGATCCTACAGTTCAATAGTTAAAGGAATAAGATCTTAAGAAACAAGAGTAAGCTGTTCGGTCCTTTAAGCCTGATATGCTATTCAATAGGATTGTGACTGATCCAACATTCCTCACATCCACTTGCTTGTGTATTGATTTCCTTGACTGATCAAAATCTATCTATCTATCTATGTATCTTACCCTTAAGGATTCTGCCCCACAGCGCTCTGCAGAAAAGAGTTTCAAACACATTCAACCTTCTGAAAGAACAAATTCCTGCTCATCTCAGCCTTAAATTCATGCCCTCTGCTCCTTGACTCTCCTATGAGGGGAAACCTCATCTCAACATTTACCCTGTCAAGCCCCTTAAGGAATCCTGTATGTTTTAATGAGATTGCCTCTCATTTTCCTAAACACCAGTGAGTAGAATCCCAACCTATCAAGACATTCCCTCCATACCAAGGTTCATCTTCATGAGCCTTCTCTGAACAGCCTCTAATAAAATCGTTTTTCTTTAAATAAGGGGACCAAAACTGCTGACAGTGCTCCATATGTGGTCTCACAGCACCTTGTACTGTTGCAGTAAGACTTCTCTGCTCTCATACTCCAATCCCCCTGAAATAAAGGCTAACATTCCAATAGCCTTCCTGATTATTTGCTGCACCTGTTTGCTAGCTTTGTGTTTCATGCACAATTACCTCCAAGTCCCTTTGTGTTGCAGCTTTCTGCAGTTTTTTTCCAGTTTAAATAATACACCATTCTTTTGATCTCTCTTCCTATATGAACAATTTCAAATTTTCTTGCATTATACTTCATTTGCCAACTCTTTATCCACTTTTTTAATCTAATAATATTCCTCTGCAACCTGCCTTTCCACCTACTTTTGTATCATCTGAAAATTTGGCTACAGTACCTTTTTACTTCCTTTCTCCAAGTCATTAATATAGTGGAAGCGGTTGCAGATCCAGCACTGATTCATGTGGAAACCCACTGGTCACAGGTTTTCACCTTGAAAAAGTACTACTTATCCTCACTCACTTACTCCTGCCCATTAGCTAATTCTCTATCCATGTCAATATACTACCTCTAACACCACAGAATCTTATGTTATGACTTAACTTTTGTGAGATATCCTGTCGAATGCCTTCTGGAAGACCAAATACAACATATCTACTGATTACCCTCTGTCCACTCTGGTCAAGAATTCCTCAAAAAAAAAAATTCTAATAAAGTCAGATGTGATTTCCCTTTGACAAAGCCAGTAATCTGCTTGATTAGATTATGATTTTTCCAAATGTTCTATTACTTCCTTAATAATATGCTTTGGGGCAAATTTCTTTCAGTATTTGCTAATAAGGATATTTAAGTACACAGAGGCCAGTCAAAAAAAATCCAATCCATCTATTTTTCAAAATTCCACCCATCTCCTTTCTCTATGAAGACCAATTGAGGAATTTACAAACTTAACTGTTTTGGCTATTAGAAATTTGAGTCAACCATATGAGTATGGAGTAGAATCACATAAGATTGAACAATTAAGGATGCATTCTTTAAAGACGTTGGAATTTTTCAACAATCCATCAGTTTCATGGGGCTATATTTTTACAGCTCTGTGGCAGGTTGGTAGGCAGTGGTTCCTATAAAATTTGACAAGTGTTAGGCCTGTCATCTACCTACCTGCCCTGCTATAATTTTTACTTTCAGCAGGGGAGGGATTGAGAAGGCCACCTGCCATAGGCCATTTACAGCCTCATCTCACTGCTGCTAGATGTAAACAGCAGCGAGAGGTACCCAAACTGATCATCCAGCCGAGCAGCTTGCACTGTGCATGTTGGTGAGTGACAGCAGGGCAAAGGTGGTGGGGGAACAGCCTACTTAACAGACTTTTTGTCCAGATTGGAACCAATATTTTGCTTCATAGCAAATAAGCAGTCTGCTGAACATTAAATGGGTCCACCTTTGTTTGTCATTTTATATACATGATTTGGATGAGAATTTAGGAGGCATGGTTAGTGAGTTTGTGGATGACACCAAAATTCATGGTATAGTGGACAGTGAAGAAGGTTAGCTAAGATTACAAAGAGATATTGATCAATTGGGTCAATGGCTGAGATGTGACAGATGGAGTTCAATTTGGATTAATGTGAGGTATTGAATTTTGGTAAAACAAACAGGGGCAGGACTTGTACAATTAATAGTAGGGCCCTGTGTAGTGCTGTGGAACAGAGACATAGGAGCTCAGATACATAATTCTTTGAAAGTTGTGTCACATGTAGATGGGGTGGTTAAGAAGACTTGCCTTTGAGTGTAGGAGTTGGGATGTCATGTTAGGATTGTAGAGGATGTTGGTGCGACCTCTTCTGGAACAATGTGTACAGTTCTGGTCACTCTGCTATAGGAAAGATATTATTAAATTGGAAAGGGTTAAGAAGGGATTTACCAGGATGTTACCTGGAATGGAGTTTGAGTTATAAAAATTTTCATTGGAATGTAGGAGGTTGAGGAGTGACCTTCTAGACATTTATAAAATCATGAGGGGCATAGATAAGGTGAATGGCAAGGGTCTTTTCCCTAGGGTGGGAGCATTCAAAACTAGGGGGTGTATTTTTAAAATGACAGAAGAAAGATTTAAAAGGACATATGAGGGACAACTTTTTTTTTACACAGCGATTCATTAGTGGAATAAACCGCCAGAGGAAGTCGTGGATGCAGGTATAATTTCAACATTTAAAAGACGTGGATAAGTACATGAATAGGAAAGGTTTGGAGGATTATGGGTCAAATGTGGGCAGGTGGGACTAGATTGGTTTGGGAACATGGTTGGCGTGGACTAGTTGGACCAAAGGGTCTGCTTCCATGCCGTATGACTCGATAAATAACTTTAGGGCAAGCCGCAAACTGAAGAACGGATCTGCTGGGAGAAGGCAGGAATGCTGATACAATGTAAAATGCAACTCGTGGTTACTTTTAACTGATATCAGCTTTTCAAAAAATGGTTTCAAAGTTCCAAACAGCCACTGAGAAATTTGGTAACTTGGCCAGCAACATTTGTTTATAATATATATATAAATTATAACTTGTGTATTTATTTTTTTTCCTTCATGTAGTCCTGTTTACAAGACCGCAGTGAACCTCCTCAACTTTTAATGGACTTCAAACACATGTTTCCTGTAATCTTTCCATACAACCCTTCTGCACTCAACCTGGATACCATTCACATCCCAGCAAATTTGAACTTAACTTTCCTCAACAGAGTATAGAACAAAGTTGGGTATCTGTGAAAGGAGGAGCGGAGAGAGACTATGTCAGGATCTTGGATAATTGCTGTCTTTCTATCAAAAGTTATTATGGAAAGAAATAATTGCACGAGACCTATTCGAAAAGAAGCAGAATTGATCTGGCACCACGACGTAAAAATATGTCTTCAAGAGGCCACTTGAGAAGCAGTCTGAGGGAACAACTAGCATTTCAAGTGATAGGCCATGGTTTATTTTTATAATTTAAAAGCCAATGACTATTTATTGTGTCAGATGTTTTAAAGGAAAAAAAGGTATTTGTAATCAAAAGAGAGCACTGGGATTCATGTGCTTTCTGCATATTTAACAGCTCAAGTCTGCATTCATTATGCTTCTTTGCAAAGTTCAAGCATGAACTGGAATCTTTCTTTTGTATTCGTAGTCAGAGTGGGAACATTCTATAGGTAAATAATGATGTGTATAGATAAAAGAAAATGACTGGAAAATACAAACAAGGAGGGGCTTTGATTCTGTTCAATGTGTGCAACCAGTTTGAAGCTGGTATCGCCTTTCTGCTAGATGCATAAATAATTCCTCATCTTTGCTGCAAACATAACTGAGGACTTGTTTTAAGATTTGTGTAATTTATTATTTCAATTAATTATAGTGCTTCTGTCCATATTTGTTTGTTTCTTGAACTGAGAGATTTTGAGCTGGTTGCTTAATACTTACATTGTGGACTCGACTCACAAAAGAAGAACAGCTTAGCTTTGGATTGTGTTTGACTTATTGGGGAGTTGGTCAGCTCAGTTGGCTGGTTTGCGATGCAGTGTGATGCCAACAGCATGGGTTCAATTCCAGTACCTGCTGAGGTCACCATGAAGATCCTACCTTCTTGACCTTGCCCTTCACCTGAGGCATGGTGTCTGTCGGATTAAATTCACCACCAGTCATCTCTCTCTCTCGAATGAGAGACAAGCCCCATGGTCCTCTGGGACTTTGGCAACTTTACCTTCCTCTATTTGCCTCATTAAAATATATATTTGGAAATGCTGTGCATAACCCCTTGAAACAATGCCATTTAACCGTATCGAAAATTTTAGTTTATTACAGTGCCCAATTGAAGTCTAAATTGTTTAATCATTAAGATAACAGCACCACATTCCTGGTGTTCCTGCTTCTTGTGGATAACAAATAAACTAGTTTTATACTTATTAGGGAATTGTAATTTGCAGGAACCTGAACTCATTGATAAAGCAAGATGATAATGTGCATTAATTGTAAAATGTGAACACTGATGCATAACAGAACTACTTTCAGAATTAGTCTTTCACTGCTGATACAGCAGAACCTCACTGAACATTTAAACCCAGCAAACGTTTTGATTTAGATTGGATATGCATTGCTTGTTGTTAATGGTCCATTACCTTTGGATTTATATTTTCCTCTCCGTCTCCTTTCACTATGTAGACTCCATGTGCCTGTACACCTCTGCTGGCTGAAATTTGAATTTCAAGGCTTCAAAAGTGAACGTTGGAATTAAATCTCACACTGAATTGATGTGTAGTTATTATCAATCACAAATTTCTGTTTAGCAGTCACATTAACAACTCATATCAAGACTATTGATTATTCTTACCCACAAATACAGTTGCAAAATTAGCATGTCAGTCTGTAGTACGAATGTCATTAATTTTCCTGAGTTGGAACCAAATGAAATTACTTTCTCTCTTTAACCGCTGATCCACATTGTATGAGTCCAAGTGCTCTGTTTCAATACAAATTTCAGTGTTTCCACTGACTACAAAAGTACAAACAAGACATCAGATCCTCAAATGCATCATCTCCTCTTCCCTGTTGTTCTTAGCTGGTTTTCTTAGCTTCATCCCAGAGAAAGGAAATGGAAAAGTTTTAAACCACTCCATTGGTGAGCACTATTTAAAACAACTATGGTTAGGAAAGACAATGTACATTAATATAATAGAATGTTACATTATCTTGGATAGATTAGTGTAATTGTTCTTTAATAAATTTTTAATTCAGATGGTCATATATGGCTGAAGATAGTCAGTCATTTTTGATTTAGATTCATGGAATCTAAATTGGACTGGGCATATAACCTACATAGCTACAACAAATTCTTGATTAAAATGCATGAAAAACTGTTGCAGTTTCAACATTATGCTCTGATATGGTCAAAAGAGAAGAATTAAGTACAAAAGTAGTAATTAAAGACACTTCTGCCCAAGGACAGTAATTATACTGTTCAAAATCTGACTGCTGTGCTGTGCCGTGCCGTGCCAGCAACATGACTCATTTATCACAATGGGATTATTGGAGTGAATGAATTGGAGTTCTCATGATGACTGGTTGCGTAATTGTACCATCTGCTATGCTGATAGAGATTGTGTTCAATCTCTGATTTACTCAGACAATCTCAACCAAAGACTACTTCAGCCAGAGAGTGGTGAATCTATGGAATTCACTGCCACAGAAGGCTGTGGAGGCCAGGTCATTGAGTACATTTAAGACTGAGATAGATAGGTTCTTGATTATCAAGGGGATCAAGCGTTACGGGGAGAAAGCAGGAGAATGAGGTTGAGGAACTTATCAGCCATGATTGAATGGCGGAGCAGACTCAATGGGCTGAATGGTCTAATTTCTGCTCCAGTGTCTTATGGTCTTATGGTCAAAGGCAGTGGAGGTACTAGGAAGAGTTAAAACTCAGCTTGGTTTTGCCTTGGTAATAGTCAGTGATCCTAGTCAAAATTGTGTGCAAGGGATGTCCCTCAGCTTTGTTCTTTCACGATCTGGGCTGACACATGGTGAAAGGCCACACAGCAAAAGCACTGCAAGGCTGTTTGCACTTATCCCTTCTGAGAACCATTTAGTAAGTTATGATCTGAACTGTGCTACCAAAAAAGGTGGTGGGAAAGGTTCAACAGCAACTCGAGGAATTGGAAATATACTTGAAAAGAAAAAAAGTACAGCTAAGTGTTAGAGGAAGAAAGTAGGATTAATTGGGTCAGTTGTTTCTCAAAAACCAGCAAAGATAGGCTGAAGGGCCTACTTGCTGGAAGATATAAGATTTATATAAATTTTTTTTGGACAAGGAAAGACGGAGCAGCTCAGCAGTTCCATTCCTTTTCATATACTTCATTTTCATTTACCCATCTCACCTTAAATCTAAATCCTTCTATTTCCAGGTAAGTTACACTACCAGTTGAAGCATGATCCAAATACATAAAGTATTGAAGCCTTGCATATTTAATTGCGATCATAAAATATGATGGTTATAAATACACAGGCACCCCCCCCCCCCCCCCACAAAAAAAAGGTCAGGCTGCTCATGATGATGTATCACTGGGTATTAAAGAGCACAAGGAGCTTTCAGTGAACTTCCACAGGATGATCCAGAATGGAGACAGAGCACTTTCATTGTAAACTCTTCCCTCCAAGTTCAACCACTGAGTTGTATAATGTGACTCAGTTTATTTCTGAATGATTTTGAAGTTGTTTGAATGTTGGGTATAATGAGACACTTATGACCAGGACATTCTATTGAATTAACATTTGGCGATACAATGATAAACTGAAATTGTGAGCTAATCATTGCAAGTTTATTTAATTTTAATCTGGATGTATTTGTTTCCTTATCAACTTGAAGTTGGAATTATTCTTTAAAAGGATCTAAACAAATACAATGGGCAGAAATATACATCCCTATATAGACACACGATGGTCTCACTATCAACACCCTTGCTCTCTTTCTACTGACCTCACCCTGGGCCTTATCTTTGCTACCTACCCCAAAATCTCTACACTTACCTAGTGATGGATTCTTGGACTTAAACGCTGGAGAGTGTTTGCAGTTCCATTCCTCTCTACTGCAGGTTTTGTTGCTGCTAAGACTCCACCTGAGTGAGGGGTGGAAGTCCAATCTCTGACCAATTAACATTCCTTGGAGCAGTGTTGGCATCACCAACTCTGCAAATGGTGGGAAGGGAAACCTCACCATCCTAAAAATCCTGGCCAATAAACCACAGGATCCATCTAGCTCGATGCTACATAATGAGCATGACAAAATGAATTAACTTTCTTAAACTTATTATGTGTTCCCATGCACTTGGAATGTTTTAACAGTGGTGGATCAGATTTTTGCAACTTTAGGCTGCTGACCCTTCCCAGAAGATATTCTTATAAAGGTTCAATGTCTTTATGAAAATGTAACACTTTTTTGTACTTGAAGAGGAAGAACCAAGTGGCATCATAGTTATAATGACCCATTTAATCAGTATTTATATCATTACATACTAGCTGCAACTAGCCAAGGATAGACATTCATAAAGAGAGAGTCTCAAATTCATTAGGAGCAAAACATATTTTCAAAGTTGTTGTGTAATTCACAATGTGCACAAAGTTTGGTACAAGTAATTAAGTCTGATGCCATTCTAGACCTGAGGTTTAGGCTTTAAACTCTAGGGTTCTTGGATTTTCTGATGTAGAGGAATTTCAGATTTAAGCAAATATTTTACGATTGCCCCTATTTATCTGAATGGAAAATTGAGAATTTATGTATTGCATGAATAGATTTAAAATAATTTGCAATAAGTGAAACTGTAAACAACCACAAGGCATTCATGTTTTTAGCCTTGAATAAATGAAGCTGATAGAGGACTTGATATAACTGTACAGTAATTTATCAAAGTTGTTTTACATTGATCAGTATACTTGAACACTGATCAATCTGAGTTTAGTCTGGGTGGTTGGATGATTAGGATGTTTATATAATGAGGATTGAAAAGAGGAAGAATCACTTCTCCCTTCCTTGATGACTCAAAATCAATAGGAAAAAATGTATCCATGGGAATGTTTATTGGGGTGAATTTTATAGGCCTTCATGATATTTTTGACCTTTTTTTGCACAATGTTGATTTTTGAAAAAAAATTTGTTAATCATCCCTCCCTTCCAAGATTTCTATCTCCAGTATTGGTAACATTTGGTACAGTTGGCTGATTATTGGTCAATAATGTACTGCTGTTAAGTGAAATATTAAATGCTTATTATGATTAAGACTGTAACAAACTAATTATGTGCAAGCAATAAATAGTAAAATGTAAAAACGATCAATGATGAATATTCTGATCAAAGTAATTTTTACATTTTGAAAAACTGTAAACTACATGCTTTATTATAACAATTACTTTTAAATAGAGAAACAGTAATGTCAAATAAAGAATTTTGAACGTTTAAAAAAAATCTAATTTTTTATTTATCTCGACTTCCAATCTTGGATACTTTTCCAGATACACGTTCCTTTTAAAAATAGTATGGAAGAAAATTACTAGCACAGTTCTACAAATGAGGAATTAATGAATAGAGTAGAGAAGATGGTATTGTTCTGCCTAGAGTAGCCAAAGATAAAGAGATTTGAGGTTTTTGAATCAATAAAAGTTTTAAATAAATTGTTTCCAGTGGATGATTGGTTGATAATCAAAGGATGCAAATTTAAGGTGATTAGAAAAGGATTTTTTTTTTAATCCAACGAGTGGTTGGGATTTAGAATGCCTTATAGTTGGAGATAGAAATTGTGTACTATGGAGGAAGAGAATGGGACTAATTTCATTTCCCATGAAAACCTCAAGCCAATAGACACCACTTGTGCTGCACCATTCTATAATTCTGTAATCAGTCTAGATTAAAATAACGTAAATTGGGAAATATATTTTGCTTGTTTAAAATTTAAAAGTGGTTGAACTGCAATCAAATGGTGATTTCTTTAGACGTTTTGTCAGTACTTGTTTCACTAAGTTGGAAATCCAGCCACCATGATGCTTAATATAGGTTTAGAGTAACTATTAAATTGAAGAAATATTCCTGATTTTAGGCTCATTGGGGATTGTTAATTTGACTTTGGATGATTTGTCAACGAGAAGCAGACTACACTACTTTTGCCAAATTAGCAGATGCATACAGTCCTTGGTGAAAGACAACGATTTCACTGCTGAGCACAAAGCCATTTGACAACAACCTTGGCAGGTTAAATATTAACACTTCCTGTAAGTCAAAGGATAAACTGCAAGAGTCTACAAATAGAGATACAGGACAGGAGATTGGGTTCCCAAGGGAGAGTCGACACCCTTCTATCCCTGATATACAAAGTGCACGTAACATTATATTCTTAACCTTCATTTCTTAAGAGATTGATGATTACAGCCACAGTTTTAGATGAACACACTTCAGTGTCAATGTAAGAATTCACAAAACTACAATATGTGACTCACAGGATATGTTGTCCTATCAATAGTAATGTCATGATACTCTGACAGCAAGTCGCCTCCTCTACCATTGCATGAAGATTGCCACCCACTCACACCTTGCACAAGTTTTCACTGACTGATCATCTCCCAAGCATGTATTATCATGACACAGATACAATTGTTGCAGTGTTTGAACAGATGATACCATATTGCAAGAATTTCTTAGTAAACAACTGGCAACCCATTTGTAATCCAGAACTCCAAGTACAGATCCACAAATAGAAAGGCTAATGGTGTTCTAAATTTATTCAGCTTTGTGGTCATAATCAACAAGACAGCAGCAACAGCAACACAGCAATCTATAGCGAAATCTTTTGTTTTACATCTAGCCATCTTGATTTACCATTTTTAACAAAAATCGGCATCTCTGATGCAGTACTTCCTCAGTTATATGGAAGTATTGCCCTTGATCATAAATGGAACTTGAAATTATAACTTTCTAACTGAGATGAAAATGCCAAAAAAAATGAATAAAGTTAGCAATAAATCATGAAACATACAAATTAATGGACTTAATTGGTTTTATATGTTAATTTCACATTACTACTTGTGATTTCTTCCTGTCAAAGACTTTGCAAATACCACGATGTATGATTTGCAGCAGAACAGGTCAGATTTTCATAGGATATTTGCACGAAAGCAGCAAGCTTAACTGCAAAGATTGAATGGGACCAGAGCAAGAATGCATTGAGATAACACAGTGTAGAGCTCAACCCGAAACGTCAGCTTTCCTGCTCCTCTGATGCTGCTTGGCCTGCTGTGTTCATCCAGTTATTCACCGTGTTAGAGTTAGCAGGAACTGCAGATGCTGGAGAATCTGAGATAACGAGGTGTAGAGCTGGATGAAATTTCTGAAGAAGGGTCTAGGCCCGAAACGTCAGCCTTCCTGCTCCTCTGATGCTGCTTGGCCTGCTGTGTTCATCCAGCTCTACGCCTTGTTATCTACACCGTGTTATCTCAGATTCTCCAGCATCGGCAGTTCGTACTATCTCTGTAACAAGAATGCATTCTTCCAGCTTTGGTTCCAACACTGAAAGAAAAACTGTATGTTGATAAAGAGTATGTTGATAAATGTGGACAAAGATAATCAAGTCTGAATTGAAAAATGAAGTTTCTATGGGACCCAAGAACGTGAAATGTATAATGGGGAGGCCTAGTGGTATTATTGCTAGACTATTAATCCAGAAACTAAGCTAATGTTCTGGGAACCTGAGTTCAAATCCTGTCACAGCAGATGGTGGAATTTGAATTCAATAAAAAATATCTGGAATTAAGGATATACAGATGATTGTGAAACCATTGTCAATTGTTTGAAAACCCATTTGTCTCAATAATGTCCTTCAGGGAAGGAAATCCGTGATCAATACCTAGTCTGGCCTACATGTGACTCCAAATCCAGAACAATGTGGTTGTCTCAGAACTGGCCTACAAAGTCTTAGAAACCAGGCGGACCACATGGCATCGACCTAGGCAACGGAAAAGTAACTGACAGAAACTGCCCAGTCGACCCTATAAAGTCCTCATTACTAACGCGGGGGCTAGTGCCAAAATTGGGAGAGTTGTCTCACAGACTCATTAAGCGACAGCCTTTTATTCTTTTGTTTTATTCACTTGTGAGACATAGGTGTCACTGACCAGCTAGTACTTATTGCCTATTCCTAGTTGCTGTTGGGAAGGTGGCAGTGAGCTACTTCTTGAACCGCTGCAGTCCACATGCTGTAGGTTGACACACAAAGTCATTAGACAATGAATTCCAGGATTTTGACGAAGTGACAATAAAGGAACAGAAATCTATTTCCAAGTCAGGATGGTGAGTGGTTTAGAGGGAACTTGCAGGAGGTGATATTCCCATATATCTGCTGTCCTTGTCCTTCTAGATGGAAGTGGTCATAGTTCTGAAAGGGGTCTCTAAGGAATTTTGGTGAATTTCTGTGGTGCATCTATTGCTGCTATTGAGTGTTGGTAGTGGAGGGGGTGAATGCTTGCGAATGTGATGCCAATCAAGTGGGTTGCTTTGACCTGGAAGGTGTCAAGCTTCTTGAATGTTGTCGAAGCTGCCCCCACCCAGGCAAGTGACTCCAACCAGTGGAGAGTCTGATTCCTGATACCCATTGATTCCACTTTTGCTAGGGCTCCTTGATGTCAAGGGCTGTCTCTCCTACATCATCTCTACAATTTAGCTCTTTTGTCCATGTTTGAACCAAGGCTGTAATGAGGTCAGGAGCTGTGTCCCTGGCGAAACCCACGCAGGGCATCACTGAGCAGGTTATTGCTGAGCAGGTGCTGCTTGATAGCACTATTAATGATCCCTTCCGTCACTTTACTGATGATCGAGAATAGACTGATGGGGTGGTGATTGGCCTGCTTTTATTTCTCCTGTTTTTTGTGTACAGGACATGCCTGGGTAATTTTCCACATTGTCAGGTGGATTCCGGCATTGTGACTATTACTGGAACAGCTTGGCTTGAGGAGCGACAGGTTCTAGAGCAGAAGTCTTCAGTTCTTTTTCAGGAACATTGTCAGGCGCATTGCCTTTACAGTACCCATTGCCTCCAACCATTTCTTGATGTTATGTGGAATTAATTAAATTGACTTAAGACTGTTTTATGTAATGCTGGGGAACCAATGGAAGAGACAGAGATGGATCATCTCCCAGCACTTCTGGCTGAAGATTGCTACGTGTTCTTCAGCCTTATCTTTTGCATTTATGTGTTGTGCTCTTCCGTTATTGAAGGTGGGGATATTTGTGGAGCCTCCTTCAGTGAGTTGTTAATTGTCAGTAATCATGGGACTTGACTTCAAACTATTGGTGATGGGTCTATTGTAGGAATGCTGGGAAGGGAGAGTGCTTCTAGACCTTGGGCAGTGATGGAAAAAAACCCTTACTTTCTCTGTGCAGTAACCCCCCCACCCCCAGCTCCCTATAGATGTCAGGAGAAATATAAAATGGTGATAAATATAGGTGTGCAATCTCACAAAAACATTCAAATGACCAACCCATCATCTGGGAGTAGGTTTGTTGCCCAACTTTTCTCCTGCCTCAATTAAATGGGAAATAGACAGATTCAACACAGGTTGGATTCATGTTTGCAATTTTTAAAATAGTTACATCCCACCTGACCCAAAACCACCCATTTCTGGGGAAAGAGGGAGATTCTTTCCCTTGGGCAGAATCTTATAGGGGCCTGAACAAAGTTCAGGTGTGAAATGTGCAAAATCTCATGAGAAGTCCAGCAAGAACTATTTTGGGAACAACTTGCTGCACCTTTTAACAAGATGAGATTCTTGCTAGGCAGCAGTGAGTTACCTATTAAGGGGATATTGATCTTTAAAACTTTATTAACTCTAGATCTTGCCTCATTTATAGAGCAAGAACAAAGAAAAATTACAGTACAGGAACAGGTCCTTTGGCCCTCCAAGCCTGCACGAACACGCTGCCCATCACAACTGAAACCCCCTACCCTTCCGGGGACCGTATCCCTCTATTCCCATCCTGTTCGTATGTAGCTTTTTATTGTACTGCCTGTCTCAAGCAAACTGGATGCTGAGAATTCTCAACATAGAAATCAGAATGGATACCTGGTAACTTCATCTCACCATATTCTCCAAAGGACCTCCACATTGGATACCAGGCCCCGACATCTATGGGCATTAGCATGTGACATGCCAGACTCCAAGAATTCTCATGACAAATCTCTACACCACTCGCAGTTTGCTTCTGTACTTCATGCTACAGCTCAAGGTGCAATATCAACTATTATTGTAATGCTGTAGTGTACACAGTTCATAGGTAGTTTACTTGTTGTCTTACTGTTCACTCAATTTCAGCTTACTAAGATGTTCACAACACTTTTGCTTTGCTTTGTCTTCTTGCACCATGCTTCTTAGCCAGACTTACCAGGCTCTCAGTCCTGCAGTATTGATGGGGCACTTAACAATGACAGATACAAAGCTAATAACTTTGTCATGTTGTCAGCAGTCCTCAGGTAGGAAATGGGAGATAGCCTTCAGTCAGAGGGTCCTGGCACTGTAAATTAAGGGCAGCCTCTGTCACCAATTCAGAATCTTGGACATGGTCAGTCAGCCGCATGGGATAGTTGTCTTAGCAGAGCTGAGGAGCCAAATGTCAGGTAGCACACCGGTCATCTTGACTCTTTGAGTAGAAGGAATATGGGGTGAGTGATGCTGGGTGTTGGGTTGGGTACTGACGAGTAAGGGAAGATATTACAGACAATAGTGACGTAGTAGAACGCAAGCTTTGGTGGGAGACGGATGTATTAACAGAAACAGATTGCATGTGAGGCATCAGAAGAAAGATGATGGAATTTACAATGGTGGAGTGTAGAAGATCACTGATCTTTCAGTCTTGCACCCTGGTAAGATGTGGTAAGAAAACTCACTAAGCCTAGCAGACAGAAACCCTCCATGAAATGTAACAAAATTGAAACAGCCAAAAAAAAGTAAGATTCAGCCCATTGTTTTTACAATATCAAAAAAGAAGCAAATAATTTATTAGGGTAGAATCATGTCTTTTCAGGTCTTGGCACACCTTTTCAATTAATAATTTCAAGACTCTTAAAGGGATTTGTTTTCATTAGCACAGAAAATACAACAAAATGGCTCTTTAACTGCATTTGGGGACATGTGCTATATATAGCTGGTCACATATTATTCAATTTAATTTCTAAAACGCTCAACTATACGGAGACAGATGATAGTATGCAGTTAGCCTGGTCAAAGTTCGCAAGTTAAAAACGGTCAATATATCCAGGAGACTAACCCTTTAAAATGAGTGATAATCCATAGCATACCCATGTGAAAATTCAAGGAGAGAAGATTGAATGCTAGTTTACAAAAGAAAGCTGCTATGATAGGAAGAAGAAATAAACTACGGTAGTAAACCTGTTATTTATGGAACACTTTAATTATACAGTAGGTGAAGCAAATTGAACTGCCAAGTTGCTTTCAGGAAAATTAAAGTTAATTGCATGCTTCAAGCTTTACAAAAGAAGCCATCTCTGCTGAAGATGCAAATGATGCAGAAGGATATTAGAAAACGTCCCGTACATACAATCACCCATAAATAAATAATTACAGCAGGATTCTGGTTTATGTAATGGCTTATAAACAAGTCACATGGACCAGCATCGACTCACAATTACCCTCGCCTTGGAGGTGGAAGAAAATATAGTCGGTTGAATTTTCCCACATTTTGGCGAAGGGTCATTTTCATCAATTTTCACGGAGGTTTTCCCTCCATGACACGGAGAGTGTTTTCTGGTGTGATTGCCACAAACTCACCCTACTAACTTCCTACACCCTTATTCATGCCCATCTTGTCTGATGCTGGCCTGATTTTCCCAGTCACCATAGCTGGAGGTACTCGCCACTGCCTGGATAACGTGGGATATATCAGCAGCCTGGTGGCAGTAGCATATTTGAAAGTAATCTGCAGCTGTCCTATATAGATGCAGTCATTCGCAGCAGGCATGGTGGAAAGGGAGAAATTGGTGCCAATTTGCAGACAGTGCTGAAGGTCTGGATAGATTGGGTTATAGAGGAGAGACAGCAGGCGGTTTGGCAGGGGCACTGGGTAAGCTGCAGTAAGGCAGTTGGGATCCTGGTGCTTCAGGCTGCCTGCCTTGATGGAGAGATCATGGGATTGCAAGATCCAGTATGCTCAGTGTCTGTTGGAAATGCTCACAGGCTTGCAGTCCATTCCTGTAGCCATTGATGCTCAGCAAGGAGACATGGTAGTACTAGTAGGTGCCCAACCAGAAAAAGAACACATTTGGCTCCCTATGTCTCCTCTTAGGGAACTCCAGAGGTGGATGCCTCCACCTCCATTCTGCCTGACAGCCTTAGCCTTCTGGGATGTCTAACTGAGGAGCATGTACCTGTCACTGGGGAGGACATACCTTCCAGACAAAAACACCGTTAGGATCACCCCATCAAACTTCCAAACCAATGGTTCCACTGTAGGATAGGCTCTCTCCTGCCCTGTTACGGAGCCCGATACTGCACTGTGACATAGAGAGAGAGAAAAAGAATGAAGATCTTCTGAGGGCATTTGTAAATACATGCTGAGTCTCTGCCTAGCCACAAACATACCATTGAAGGTACAGAGCCACCCATCCTTAGCACTGCACAATATTTCATGGTTGAAGGTGTGAAGTGAGCAGCTCCTGCACCATGCACAGGCAATGGGTAAATAGCAGGTTATTGCTAGGCTCCATCTTTCCAAACATTGCTACTGCATCACAGGCATTAGTAGGATTCATTCATCATTTGTATAATATGGTCAGAGTGGCTTGAAAAGGATTTAGGCTGCATACATCGAGTAATGCCGGAGGTTAACAAAGCATGTAATTCTCACAGATGTGTTTCAGCTTCAGTGTTCAGGAATCTGTGAAGGGCCTCACATCACTAGAACCTGAAGGCCACCTCCCTCAAGAAATGAAGCACTTACCCCAGTCAGTCTGGGTGTACTTGTAGCCATTTTTATCTCCATTGTGTATTCCATTGTCATGTATAGCACAACGGAAGGCAACAGCAGTCACTCCTTGAACAGAGTCTGAGTCTCTCTGTCATGGTGAATCCCCCGTCAAGGCCCAGAAATAATCTGATTAGCGTGTTCTTAATCCTGATCAGCAGTGAAAAAAAACATAGAACAGAGCGTCCTCGGAGAACATTTGACCCAGATTGGATATGGCTGCAATGGCCCTCTTGTCTGAACAACCCAATGACACATAGCCCTGAAAGACCATTTGCAAGTGTCCCAGAGGTAATTGTGGGAACAATGTCACTAAAAGCATTTTACAAGTCAGAGGGAGGGTACCTCATTTGCAGGAGGTTGGTGGTTATTAGTGGGACTTGAGAGTTTTTTTTTGGTGTGAGCCTGCCTTGCCACTGTCCATGATGGGCAGGTAGGGCATGCATGGAGCCATCCTAGGAATTTACCACTGCTCCTTTCAACCCATGAGTGAGAAGGCAAACAAACATTTGAAAACAAAAGAATGATTTTATTTTGGATTCAGACTGCTTGTCAGACGAGGACGGACATTATGCTGAACAGGAGCACATTGATGTAATATTTGAGAAGTGCCATTGCAATAAAACAGTCTGCATGCAAATAGCAATCCTTTTAAAGGTATGCATATGAATGGATACAAGTGAATCTTAATGGAACACACTAAAGTAAGCTGATGATTCACTACAAACATTGACCAGGATCCCAGATGGCAACCACATGTGCTTTTAGATATGATAGTAGACTGCATACTACTTTTGATATTTTTTTCTGTTGTCCTTTACACTCTTGACTTCTGAACTCCCTAATACTAAGTACTTTTGGTTACTGTAAAGGTTTTGTTACTTACCTTCACCAACTGCTTCCCTACAATGACACTCTTGATTAGTCAAGGAACAGCAACAAAAAAATCTGGTAGCATTCTCAGAGATACTCCCATTGTCCCTCCAAAATATAGAAACATGATCATTGAAGCACTGGGGAAATAGTTTAAACGGGCTACTTCTCCTAGGACCCACCCAAGTTACATTAGGAAATTCGGAAAACATTCTGCATCCCAAACTGCTTGAATTTTGTTGTTATTCCAGGATTCAGGAGCTGTTGAAAATATACAAACTGTTGAACTCCTAGATACGAAAAATCCTCAGGGTGTCAAAGTAATGTTTCTTTTATAATTTTCCAGTCTCTTCAGTCATCATAGATTTTTGCTCTTCTTGCCTCAGTACATTCACACTGAGCAACCACCCTTTGCTCCCACATCTTTCTCCCAAGGTTCTTAGACATCAGTTTCCTGTAGTCCTAAGCTAATTCTCAAATGTTTTCAGTGCAAGAGCCAATCCACTACTCCCAAACATTAACATTGGTCTCCACTACTCTCAGATCCTTAACACAGTTTGCAAACTCAGAAATCCTCTTTACAATTATTCCTACCCCCTTACCATTACTCCAACTCTTAACCATTACAATTTTAATACTCCAATCTTTGCAGCTATGCCCCACTCCATAAGTTACATATGACAGTTTCACAACTGCAAAGTAGGAATAAAGGAACAGGCCATTCAGCTCCTCAAGTCTGTTCTGCCATTCAACAACATCATGGCTGATCTGTGGCCTAATTCCTTTTGCCTGCCTTGGGCCCCTATCCCTCGTTACCTTTGCTTTACAAAAAAAATGTCTCTCAGATTTAAAATTTAACAAGTGAACTTTGAGTAAGAGAGTTCCAGACCTCCAGTTTGCATTGTTCTTTGCATTTAGAAATGCTTTCTAACATCTCTCCTGAATGGCCTGACTAATTCTTAGAATGCACTGAATTAATATTATTTTGATAGCCACTATTACTTAGTCTATTAAAGAATATCACTACTTAGACTATAATGAAAATTACTGACTGCAAATAGACCAACCTGTCATCTAGGCTGTTCCAACATAGAGACAAC